ATTTTACAATTGCTCACTGTACAGATCAAAAGATCAAGATGAATAAACAGGTTCTGGTTCAAGATGGTGATGTAGAGGGGCCCTGAGCTCATCTTCTCCCATGCACTCCCTATCAAAATCCCAATGGCAATTTTTACAGAAATAGAACAAACAGTCCTAAAATTTTTATGGAACCACAGTAGACCCCAAATAACCAAAGCAATCTTGAGAAAGAAGAACAAAGCTGGAAGCATCATATTCCCTGATTTCAAACTATATTACAAAGTTATAGGAATCAAAACAGTATGGTTTTGGCATAAAAACAGACATATAGATCAATGGAGCAGAAAGAGAGCCCAGAAACAAACCCATGCATATATGGTTAATTTATTTATGACAAAAGAGCCAAAATGGGGAAAGGACAGTCTTTTTAATAAATGGTGTTGAAAAAACGGGACAGATACGAAAAAATGAAGCTGAACAACTATCTTACACCATACACAAAAAATTAACTTAAAATGGATTAAAAACTTGAAATCATAAAACCCCTAGATGAAAACATAGGTGGTAAGCTCCTTGACATCAGTCTTGGTGATGATTTTTTAGATTTGGCATCAAAAGCAAAGGCAATAAAAGCAAAAATAAACAAGTAGGACTACAACAAACTAAAAAGCTTCTGCACAGTAAAGGAAACCATCAACAAAGAGAAAAGGCAACCTACCATATGGGAGAAAAATATTTGCAAATCAGAATCTGATAAGGGGTTAATTAATACCCAAAATATATTAACTACTCATACAACTCAATAGTGAAAAACAAAAACCAAAACCATGACCAAACAATCCAATTAAATAATGGGCAGAGAAACTAAATACACATTTTTCCAAAGCAGACATTTAAGTGGCCAACAGATACATATAAAGGTGCTCAACATCACCGATCATCAGAAAAATGCAAATTAAAACCACAATGAGATATCACCTCACATCTGTTAGGATGGCTGTTATCAAAAAGACAAGAAATAAGTATTGGTGAGGATATGGAGAAAAGGGAACCCTCATACATTGTTGGTGGGAATGTAAATTGGTACAGGCATTATGGAAAACAGTTTGGTGGAAAACAGTTTGGAGTTTTCTCAAAAAATTAAATATAGAAGTACCATATGACCCAGCAATTCCACTTCTAGGTGTTTATTCAAAGTAAATGAAATGCTAACTTTGAAAGGTATCTGAACCCCCATATCCATTGCAGCATTATTCACAATAGCCAAGACACAAAAACAACCTCAAAGTCCATTGATGGATGGATAAAAAAAAGTGGTATACAGTTGACCTTTGAACATGGGTTTGAACTGCATGGGTCCACTTATACATGCATTTTTTTTCCAATAAATATACAGTGGGCCCTCTGTATTATCTGGTTTTACATCTACAGTTTCAACCAGTATATTTGATCCACAGTTAGTATCCATGGATGGGGAAGGCTGACTCTATGCATTGTTCTACCTCATTTTATGTAAGGTACTTGAAGCATCCACGAATTTTGGTATCTGCAGGGAGTCCTGGAATCAATCCCCCCTGGATACTGAGGGATGACTGTAGTTAAGTCTTGGGAGAGTCAAAAGTTAAATGTGTTTTTTTGACTGCATGGGGGTGAGCACCCCTAACATCCACATTGTTCAGGGAGATTATGTGCATATATATATATATATTATTATTATTATATGTGTATATATACATATATAGTAATATGTAGTAATATATATGTGTATATATATACATATATATGTATAGTAATATTATTCAGCCATTTAAAAAGAAGGAAATCTTGCCATTTGCAACAACATGGATGCACCCTGAGGTCATTATGCTAAGTTAAATAAGTCAGAGAGAAAACAACAAATACCATATGATGTCACTTATATGTGGACCCAAAACAGCAAAACTGAACTCATGGTTACAGAGAAGAGATGTGTGTTTGCCAGAGGCAGGCATGGAAGTGGAGGAAGGGAGAAATGGGTGAAGGTGGTCAAAGGGTACAAACTTCCAGTTATCAAATAAATAAGTCCTGGGATGTAATGTACAGCATAGTGACTGTAGTTAACAATACTGTATTGTATATTTGAGAGGTGCTAGTACTAGATCTTAAAATTTCTTATTACAAGAAAAAAAATTGTATCTATGTGAGGCGATGCATGGTAACCAGTCTTACCATGGTGATCATTTCACTATATATATATATATATATATATATATATATATGTGTGTGTGTGTGTATGTCAGGTCATTATGTTGTACACCTGAAACTAATATAATGTTATGTGTAAATTATATCTCAATTAAAAAAACTTGCTGAATAGATTCTAGATCCTTTGGAGAAAATTACTGTGAACTGGAATAGCAAAACAACCTCAAATGACTGAGACCTTATAGGTGAAAAGCTTTGCCTGGGCAGGACTTGGGAGGATTGTAAAGCATTACGTCACATGGAAAAAGCCTTCCCAGGGAGATTCGCAGAGTGGGGTCAGCCAGAGGTGGCTCCCATCTTTTCGACTCTGGACGTTGAGAGTCAAGGCAAAAAAACAGTAGGGAGTTTGAGGACCGGCGGGGGCTTGCTTAGAGGTTTCAGGAGAGGATTGCAGTTCCGGAAAAAGGCTTGATCTCCATCTGCCACCCAGAAAAGACATTTCCTTGACTGAAGGTCCAGCCCTGAGAGGTAAACTGTGCCACTGTGATGAAAGCAAGGGATACCGATGATGGTGATGATTTCCTATGTATTGGGGCCATTAGGATTTCCAGGCACTGTGCTAATTGCCTCATGAGCATTTACCCCATAGTGACTTCACCACAGTCCTATGAGGCAGGGTCTGTTTTCAGCTTTATTTTACATGAGAAGAAATTATTGTTCAAAGAAGTTACAAGGCTATTAGATGGCACCCTGGGATTTGAACCAAGATTCCACTTTAGAGCCTGAATTCTTCATGAATCTCCACAACAGCCTCAACCTGGCTAGTCCCTCGTAATTAGCAGCCTCGTGATCTAGCCTTTCATTTCAGCGTTGAAGAAGAAAGCTGTAAATGTGCACTGTCCTGAGAGTTATATCACACAGAGAGGCATGTTCTCGGAAGCCTGGGTTCTGGGAGGGGTGTCCAGGGGTAGTATTGGCCATACTTTATGGGCACATTTATGTCACACTCTGGTCCTGGTCAGCACACAGCCATGGACCCAACTTCCCAGGCCCTGCACTCGGCATCACAGTGACATGGTGCCAATTCCCCTTTCCCGAAAGACGGCTATCCGTGGATGATGGATGTTCAGATAAGATTTCTGTACAATTTGCTCTTTGATTTTTCTCCAGGACCATTTCTGGTTCAGTGACTAAAATAAAAATCAATCACCAAGTAGAAATACAGTGAAATCCTAAATTTAGGTCTAGGAAACAGAAATACTCTTTTATCATTATTGAGAAATCTGGTTTCAAGGAAAACACCATTTACCCCAAAGCTCAGTAACACACAACATAGACGACTTAATGGGATAACGTGTCGCCACCCCAAATTTAGACTCTGTCCATATTTAGAAGGCATATAGGAGTCATAATATCTTTATCATTGCCACTCAATTTTGAGGCAAGGAAAATTTCTAGCAATTCTAAATTGCTGGTGGCTAGAGGTCCAGCTCAGGCTATTGGGTTGCTGACCTGGATTAGCAAATCAATCCACCTGATGTGGGTTAGCAAAGAGCCGGTTACAAGGTGGTGTGGGGAGGGGTGGTGAATGGAGATGGGTGCCTTCCGGAGCCACTATATCACACTATTTTTAGGATGACCCATGTCGATGACGTCTGATGGCAAGGTCTCTGCTTATGATCAGGACACACTTGTGACAAGCTTGTCAAATACTTACTGAGGGTGTCCCTTCGAATCCTTTAACAGCCGCTGCCTTCAAGGCCCTCTGAACCCTGCCCACAACCTCACCTTAAGGAGGCAAATTAAATTCACTCTAACTTGAAGGTTATGGAGTGAGCAGCTCACACCACAGATTTTAATGTAGCTAGCCCCAGACTACTCTAAACTGGAACTTGGGACAAAGTCACCCAGCAGAGCATTTCTAATTAAATTGGCTTACAGTAAGACTTCATGTCAAGATCAGAACTTGGTCATAAACACCCAAACACGGATGATGCCAGGTGCTACCTTATGCAACCTCCACATCGTGTTTACCTGTACAAAGGGGTTTCTGTTGAGCGACGAGTGATTCTCTAACAAAAGAAGGGCAAAGCTCCACGAGTCAGGTCTGCTTACCTTTCAAGGCAAATATGTGTAGACACCTCATGGAGAAACTCCTGGGAATGACTGGATCCTCAAAGGCACCAGGGCGAAGAGGAGGAGCTCTCAACCTAGGAACTCGGATCTAGTATGACGTTTGTATAGTGTTAACCAACGTAATGAAAATCACACAGCCCCTGGGCAACAGTTGTGCGCATGCTCTTTCGTGACGCCAGGTGCGTCTGACTTCCATTGCACCTGTGGAGCTCAGCCGACTGGCCCCACCAGCAGCCTCAGCATTATTATCACCTGGAAGTTGTTCAATATCAAGATGAGATCTCAGCTCCATCCCTCCCCAACCCCCGACTTACAGAACCAGAATCTCTCGGGATGGAGCCCAACAGCATGCATTTTAATAAATCCACCAGTTCATTCTAACAATGTAAGCCAATGTTTGAGAGCTATTGCACTTATCATGATGTCCCCTAAAATCAAGCTCTAAAGACAACAGAACCCAGCTCACCTGGAAATCAAATAAAGGTTTTGAAAAAGACTGTATGTGGGTGGGACATGGAAAAGAACATCTATCCACTGGTGAGTAAGCGGTAGCAGACACGATTGAGCGCCATGAGTCATTTGGGCAGTAATAAGGGCTTTTTCCCTTGTTAAGATATATCATACAAAATAAGAAAAATATTAGGCACCCGTTTGACAAGAGAAATGACTCAAGCCAGGATTATTTTGCATTTTAATAATTTTGCTAGGTTATCAGTTACGTTGATTGTACATTTCATGAACTTACCTACTGAAATAATGTTTAGGGGTCTGTTTCTTCAGAAAAAATATTATTCCACTAAACACACTTTGTTAAATATGTGAGAGCTGATGCATTAATCTACCGCTTAATTTAAGCTTTATTTTTACAATTTTTGAACTTCATCTTTTGTTTCCAGTTCCACTTACCTAGAACAGATTTCATTTGGTGATTGTATAGAAGAATGTTGACATTTTATTCTTCAGGCTTCCCAAATTTGCTTGTTTATAAGCATTTATGAACCGGTAGGAATGCTTGCAGGTGAACTATACTGTATTGGTTTTGTGACAGTTGATTCAGAATCTGACATCCAGTAACAAACCATCACATTAAAATTATACTTTATTACATTTGTTTGTAATTTAGTTTGCTTATGGTGTGTAATCTCACAGAAAAAAATATTGACACCAAGGAAGTTGCAGCAAATTTTATCCCAGGAGGCATCTGTCCACTTCAAATAGCACAAACAAACATTCTTTAGTAGGGAAATGATATTTTTTGGAAAGCTTACCAGAATGAATTTAGAATTTACTAATGACTAAAAAAAGTATGATTTCTATCATGGTGATGGAGACTAAAAGCAAAATTTCAATTAAGGACAATCTGACATTTACATACTACACACACACAATTTCACTAAAAAAATTAGTAAGTTAATGAACTAAAAGACACACACCTCACCTAAGATTAAAAAAGTATTTAATTTACATGTCACAACAAAAGAAACAAAATGAGGCCACATAAATTCATTTTTGAAGGATTTTGAGAATCAACTTATATTTTAATATTTTGTTCATATATAGCCAAGAGTAACAGAGAAAGCCAACCTAGGGTCAGTCCAAAATTCTGCAGGAGAAACATCAACCAGGGTCGCCGTGTTTGAACATGAGTCATTTCAGGAAGCTAAAAAAAGAATAGAAAACCAGAATAAGATCCAGATATATTCACTGCTGGGAAAAGTTTGGTGGGAAAACATGAGAGACTGTTATTCAGAACTTAATAACCTTCAAAATTCCCAAAACAATTACAAAGTGCTTAATACCTACTCTTACCAAAAATTTAATAATGTAAGTCAAATCAAACCATTTGATTGTGATTAGAAAGATCCTAGTGACCCAGAAGTCATAAAACAACAGTTAGCAACTGAAAGCAAGCCCAACTTTTCTTAATTTTGTTTTCAGAAAATGCTTAAATGTGACATAGACAATGGATAAATGGTATTGTTTTTTACCGTTGTGGGAAGGTTTATAAATCTGCTAAATGCACTGGCTATTGCAAAGCATGTATTTGTTTTGTTTTGTTTTTTTTCAAAGAGATGACCCAAGGTCTTCCTGACCTTCAGAACAATAAAGGTATCATTTCCTAAGGCTGTATTTTATTCTCAGAGACAAGTGGCCACCATTTTATATTTGAGAAATGCCGTAACACCATTTGGAGGAAAATGTTCACTTTAGCATCTGTGTGAAGTGCCTCATTGTGTTTTTGTCTCACATTCTTTTGAATCTCTTACCCTGAGAAGGTCAGAGTGAGTCTATCTCTTCCACATCATAGTCATTTGTACTGGAATACAGGCTCAGGTCAAGACACTTAATCATGGCATTATTGACATTTTGGGCCAGATAATTCTTTGTTGTGGGGCCTCTCCTCTGTGCTGTGGAATGTTTAGCAGCATCCATGGCTTCTACCCACTAGACGACAGTTGTCCCTCTGCCCCTGACCTTGACAACCAAAACTGTTTCCAGATATAAAATGTCCCTTGGTGGATAAAGATCACCTCCAACTGAGAACTACTAGATAAATTTATATAGCAAAAAAAGGTCAAATATATAAAATATGCACAGGTTTTAGATTTACGGCAATATTAAAACAGGTGGACATGTTTTTTAATGCATGTACAGAAGCATCCTGAATGTTCTGTTTTGAGAGTGTTTGAGATGGACATTCTTCCATTTTAATTAGCTCAACTGGAAGGAGGATTAGGACTATTGCAAGCTGCTATCTCACACCCCAGCAAGAAGCAGTGGACTAAAAAGCCAAGTAGCATCCAGAACTGCTTTCATGGATGGAGAGCCTTCAATTAGGTGTCCTTGTGGTGTTTTTCTGCCATGTTTAAACATGAAGTTAATTAACCATGCTACTTTAGAGAAATCCTATATGGTTCATTATAAAATTTAAATGACATTTTGAAATCCATAGAATGTTGTATTTGTTCTCAAAGGGCTTGCAATTGATAGTATTTTTGAGGGATTAACAAAATACATGCATTGGAGTTCCCCAACATGTCTGATTCTCAATAGTTTATAAGTAGTTTTCAATAGTTTACTCCAAGGCCAGACAACATAGGCAACCGGTTTCCTTCTGTATCAGTAACTTGTATTTTAGACCGTATCTGTGAGACATATTATGCTATCTGTGGTCAAGTAAAGTCTCAAATTTTAACCTTATTTTCAAATAATGGAATAAGACATTTTGTAGTTTCCTCTCCTTCTTGTTTTTCACACAACATAATTAATATTCATTTATAAGATGTGGCTGAATTAACTACTCCTCTTACCTCCACTGCCTCTAGTGCCACCTGGCTGTTGTTCATCTTTGACAAAGTAGTAGTAGTTTCTGGAAAGATTTTCTTGGCAAATATTCATAATATATGAACCATCATGATTGAGTGAATCGTGGAGAAAAATACATCAGAAAATATATAAGCATGATGATGAAAATGGTTCTGGATCAATACATAGAATTTGAGATGAATTTTCAAACCATCAGTGTCTTAATGAAGCCACATTTAGTAAGCTCATTTTCTAATTTCCATCCTTGCCTCAAATTTCCACTCAAGGTATTTGGCTGGGAAGAAGCAGGTCTTGATTAGGGTAGACTTAATAGCCCAAAGTTTTAGATACAAAAACCACAGAGATAGAATTAGTGCCTTGAGAATTTCTGCAAATCTCAGTTTCTGTCCTGAATAAATCCAAAAATGTCACAATATTTTTTAAAAGGTTTTTGATCTATTCTTTTTCTTATTAGCCTAAGCTTACAGACCTGTCATTTGCTTGTAGTGTCTGACACATGATAGAACTGAATACACATGCTTCTAAGAGCTTCCGCTCTCTGGCCATGGCCCCACTCTCAGTGAGAAAACCAATAATCCTTTATTCTGAGTATGTAGATGGCCTCACCCACACGAAAACATCATGAGTATTTCACATGAAATAGAGTGCCTTCTGTGGAGTTTTGCAACAGGTTCCCTGCTTTATTTAAAAAAAATAAAAATCAAAACAATTGGCTCTATGATAACATGTCATCCATTCAGGTGTGCTGTGTAGCAGCTCACATTTGCCTCAAGGTCTTTCAGAATTCCCAGGCTAAAGGTCTTATGCAATGCTTGCTTTCATTTACATTCATTTTATCATGCCCTTTCTCATATCTTTCCCCTCCCCTATTTTCTCCTCATAATCCCTGCAAGAGAGAAAATTATTAACTCCTTTTGATTATGAGGAAACATTGGCTCAGGGAGGAAAATGACTTACCCAGTCACACAGATGTGATATCAGAACTAGGACAAGAAGCCAGGTCATCTCATTACTGTAGAAGACATACAAAGACCTACAGAGACCAGCTCTCTATCTGAAATTCATCTCTATTTTGACCAATATGTTTCCATATAATTAGAAAAAATGTAAAATACCAACACTGAAAATGCCCACGTAGACATAAAACAGTCACTGCTTGTGATAAATACACACACACACACACACACTATATATATATATATATATATATATATATATATATATATATACACACACACACACACACACAGATAGATAAATATATACAACATATAGATATCATGCTGTCTTTGTCAAAAAAGATACCACAGTACTGATTCTGTTTTCAAGGCAGACAATACACACTTGACAAAAGCTATAACAATAGACTAACATTGTAAGCCTACAAACAATGGAAATTCACATTTTTTAAAAGTTTAAAAAGTTTCTCATCCTGATATGGAAGCTTTCATCTTAATTTGGGTAGCCTAGCCAAACTTTCCATGTCCACACATAAATGGGTTTGGCAAGAAAAGCTAGCTTAGTTTGCTTGCTTCTGAAACAATACTTGGCTTTCCTTTAGATGATTATGAATGAACATAGGAATCATAATATTTCTTGGATTTGTACCAAAATGCCAGAGAGTCCTACAGAAAGTCTTTCCAAAAGATACAAATATAAAATACCAGAGCTCAAACCACATCTGATAACAGCATTTCACTTGTTTTGAATCTATTCATATATTTTTTAAACATTTCAGTCAGTAAATTTTGAAAGAAAGTAAAGGTCCATATCAATTAATTTGCAAGAATATATATTTTATATTTCTCTTTTAAAAATTCGCAACAAGAGTTTAAGTACCACCAGTTTTCCTTGGCTTCCAAGAGAGAAAAGTCCCCTTTTCCTCCAGGGCCATTAAATTCTTTTATTGAACAATTTTACAGACCTTGATTTGTACCCTAAGGCTAGAGGAGGGTGAAAGATGGATAAGAGTATATTAATATTGAACTGAAAGGTCAGGAAAAAAGAGAGGAAATGTTAACAAAACAGCCTTGCTCTGAGATAGAGCTAAGAAAAATGTCCTTTAAATTTCTGCCAACAGCTTAGAAAACTTGAAGTAGAAAATAACTTCTTTTTTTACCTCCATGCTTAGCAAGTTCCCCAACTCAAAACAGTAGACGCCAAGACATGATCGTCAAGGAGTTGTAATTTTCTGGAAAACACAATCTCTACCTAAAATACAACACTTTAACATGCCATTGTTAAGTTCTTTTTTCAATTTTGAATGGGGCACGGGCAAGAAATTTCCTCAGATGTACAAAATCCACATACTGACTGTGACTTGTCTCCAGATAATGGTTCCTGCAAGTTGTATTCACTAATTGAGATGTGCTTGTGATGGTCAACTGGTAATTAGGGTCTCTGAACATTTTAGAAAATTATATTACATAAATGTTTGACACTTGAGTCAGTCCCCAGAACTGTATTCCTAGTCAAGCTGAAGCTTTAACCTAAATGCTCACAGAGAATGTTAGAACACATCGAGAAAGAAAGTGGATGAATCCTAATATCAGGTACTATGTAATAATTATATACTAGGGAGGACTTGACACAAAGCAGGATGGTCTACAAAACCTCTTCTGGAACTAAGATTTTTGTCTCTCCTTGTCCAGTTAAGCTTCAGATTCCTGTGCCATGCAAAGCCTTCCATCTGTAATCTGAAACTGATTTGTTATTGGGGCCATTAAAGATCTATTACTAAATATTTCAACACTGACCTTCAGTATGGTTCAGAAATGTACATACCGAAAAAGAAAGCCAGCAGCCAGCGCTTCTAAAAATTTCAAAGGCCTGTCATTATTAAAAATTTACAATTCAAATATAGAAATTCAACATTCACTTGTTGAAGTTAGTTAGTTGGTGATGTCTCTTATGAAGTTAAAATTGTAATTCAAATATTTTTCCTCTCTCAGGAATGTGTAGCTTTTGGCATCATCAAGTTTTAAGAGAAATGACTTGCTTTTCCATTCAGGAAGCTCACTTGACAACTGATTCGTGCCATCTTCTTCTCAGAGGAACCATACAGCTCATTGGGCACACGGAATCAGGTCTACATTTGCATTTGATAAATACCATGCCTGTCCCAAAAAATGGGATGAGGAAAAAAAACTCAGAAACTTATTTTGTAAGACATCTTAATTATGCTTAATTAGGGGCACACATCCCATGCGCTGCTCTAACTCTGTCACCTTCGTAAATGGCTGAGTTTTGTCTTTGCAAAAGACACAACTGAGAACAAAATGGAAACTTGTTAGTGAAAGTCACCATTTGACTTGCAAATCCGCAATTATCTGTTTGCATGTGCAAACTTAAAATTTGAATATTAATGACTTCCAGTTTCAGGTGTGGCGTATAAGGAGATTAGAATTCCACCAGTGTGTCCTAACAACAAGTAAAACACTGGGAAAACTGAAAAATTAACAACTCTTTTTAGATATATTAACAACTCTATGTCGGAGAAATGAGGTCACAGGGTAAACCGCTGGCTCAACATTGGAGAGAAAGGCAGGTGATATAGGGAATGCAAGTTACCAGAGTGAAACTCACCAACAGAAACCTCTGTGGGAGCCAGTCCTAAAGCAGGGACACCTGCACTGTAATTGATGAATCATTAGAGGCTCAGTGTAGACAAGCTTAAGAGTTAAAAACTCCAGGAGGACCAGTCACACGGGGCCCTCATACTGGGAATTTTACTGCCAGTAGATCTACCAGATTGTCACAGTGAATATTGAAGAAAAACCCCTCACACTCTCTCAGAGGATGGTAAAAAAAAAAAAAGCCATTTTCATATATGCCAGGACATTTTATTGTTCTTAACAAGGTCAGCCCTTAGGAGAAACAGTTTTATCAGAGCCTATCTGACCTGAGAAAGGAAAATACCCAATTCCAGCTCCCTCTAGCCATACTGTTCCACCTAAGGCAGGAGGGGACAAGAAATTCACAATCTAGGGACTGGGGCTCACCAAAAGACTGATGACTAATCTTTGGACTGCAGGGTGCTTCCCTTCCCCCCATGCTTTACCACTGTATCACTAAAGGCCTATTGACCACCGTTTTTTTATACCCAGTCCATCTCATCACCCTTTCAGAAACGAACAAACAAACAAAGACTACTAAAAGGCAAAAAACACTCTTTGAAGAGACTGAATAAACATCAGACCTACGGTCAGATATGGCAGGAAGGTTGGCATCATCAAACCAGGAACTTCTATAAACTATGATTAATATGCTAAGGCTTTAATGGGAAAAGTAGGCAACATATTTGATAACAGATGTATAATAGAAGCAGAGATGGACATTTTAAGAAACAAAAAAGAAATGTTAGAGATCAAAACACTGTAACAGAACTGAAGAATGCCTTTGATAGGCTCATTAGTAGACTGGACGTGGCTGAAAAAAAACCCTCTGAGCTTAAGGATATGACAATAGAAACTTTCAAAACTAAAAATCAAAGAGAACAAAGACTGAAAAAACACACAACACAATATCCCAAAACCATGGAACAATTGCAAAAGGTGTAGCATGTGTGTAATGGGAAAACCAGAAAAAGAGAGAAAGAAAGGAACAGAAGCAAATTAGAATAAACAATGGCTGAGAATTTTTCCTAAATTAAGGTTAGACACCAAACCATGAACCCAGGAAATTCAGAGAACACCAAGCAGGATAAGTGCTCCCCTCAAAAAAACTACATATAAGCATATCATTTTCAAAATTTATTAAGTCAAAGATTAAAAGAAAAATCTTAAAAGAAGCCAGAGGGGAATAAAATCACTTTATCTATAGAGGAGAGAGGATAAGATTTATATCTGAATTATTCTCAGAAACTTTGCAAGCAAAAAGATGGAGGTAAAATATTTAAAGTATTCAGAGAGAAAAACCACCAATTTTGAACTCTGTACCCCCCAAATTATGCTTCAAAAGGGAAAGGAAAATAAAGACTCTCAGACGAACAAAAATTGAGGGACTTCGTTGTCAGTATACCATCCTTGTAAGAAATGTTAAAAGAAGTTCTTCAAAG